GGTGGGGCTGGGGGAAGCGAAGGGGGGGAGGGGAGGGGGGGGAGGGGTCCGTGTGCCGTTGGCTCGCACGGCGCGGCAGAGCGCTTCGACAGCCATGGAGATGAACGGCCGCGGGCTGCCTTGCTGGCCGGCTGGAGGAGGGGGGGGAGCGGCGGCGCCGAGGCCGTTGTGCGACAGGTCGATCGCCTTGTGTGGCCAGAGTAGTGCGTCAACGCTTCATCTGAATGCGAATGTGACTGTGAATGTGAACGCGAATGTGAGTGTGAGTGTGAGTGTGAGTGAGTGTTAATGCACCTGGCTCGCATTAGGGGCGAGGGCGGCTACGGCCAAGTCGGTAGCGCAGGGTTGCAACTCAGGGTTGCTCGGTGGAGGCTACCGCGACAGAGCTGATCGCCGTGATCCGACGTGCTCGCGGCGACCCCTCGGCTGCACCTCGGCTGCACCTCGGCTGCACCTCGGCTGCACCTCGGCTGCACCTCGGCTGCACCTCGGCTGCACCTCGGCTGCACCTCGGCTGCACCTCGGCTGCACCTCGGCTGCACCTCGGCTGCACCTCGGCTGCACCTCGGCTCCACCTCGGCTCCACCTCGGCTGCACCTCGGCTGCACCTCGGCTGCATCTCGGCTGCATCTCGGCTGCATCTCGGCTGCAACTCGGCTGCAACTCGGGCTGCACCTCGGGCTGCACCTCGGCTGCACCTCGGCTGCACCTCGGGCTGCACCTCGGGCTGCACCTCGGGCTGCACCTCGGCTGCACCTCGGCTGCACCTCGGCTGCACCTCGGCTCCACCTCGGCTGCACCTCGGCTGCAACTCGGCTGCACCTCGGCTGCACCTCGGCTGCACCTCGGCTGCACCTCGGCTGCACCTCGGCTGCCACCTCGGCTGCCACCTCGGCTGCACCTCGGCTGCACCTCGGCTGCACCTCGGCTGCACCTCGGCTGCACCTCGGCTGCACCTCGGCTGCACCTCGGCTGCACCTCGGCTGCACCTCGGCTCCACCTCGGCTCCACCTCGGCTCCACCTCGGCTGCATCTCGGCTGCATCTCGGCTGCATCTCGGCTGCAACTCGGCTGCAGCTCGGCTGCACCTCGGGCTGCACCTCGGCTGCATCTCGGGCTGCACCTCGGCTGCACCTCGGCTGCATCTCGGGCTGCACCTCGGCTGCACCTCGGCTCCACCTCGGCTCCACCTCGGCTCCACCTCGGCTCCACCTCGGCTGCATCTCGGCTGCATCTCGGCTGCATCTCGGCTGCAACTCGGCTGCACCTCGGCTGCACCTCGGCTGCAACTCGGCTGCACCTCGGCTGCATCTCGGGCTGCACCTCGGCTGCACCTCGGCTGCAACTCGGGCTGCACCTCGGCTGCACCTCGGCTAGATCTCGGCTAGATCTCGGCTAGATCTCGCCGTGATCGACGTGCTCGCGGCGAGCCCTCGCGCGACGGCGCGCGCGCGTCTACCGGGAAGGTTCCGAGAAGCTTCTCGCAAAGCAGGGGGAGGGAGGGGGGGGGGGGGGGCGTGCGCGCCTCCACCCTCCGACGCAGCAGCGGGCGAGAGAGAGGGTGCGGAGGCGCGTCGCGCTGCCGAGCGCCCGCTGCAGGTCTTCGACGGCGTGGCCGCTCCCTTGCGCAATGTTGAAGGCGAGGTCGAGCGAGGTGAGGCCCGTCGCCTTGAGGGAGGGAGGGAGGGCTCACGGCTGGCAGTCTCGGGTCCTCTCGGGTCCTCTCCGGGTCCTCTCGGGTCCTCTCGGGTCCTCTCTGGTCCTCTCGGGTCCTCTCTGGTTGGGTGGAGTGGAGCCCTTTGCCTCCTCGAGCAGCCGCGCGAGCGAGAAGGGAGGCTCGAGCGAGCTGTCGCTGTTGTCTGCGGGGGGGAGGTTGACGTACCTGCGACACGAGGCGTCGGCGAGATGAGCCGAGATGCAGCCGAGATGCAGCCGAGATCAGGGCGAGATGAGTCGAGATGAGTCGAGATGAGTCGAGATGGAGCCGAGATGTCGGAAGGAGGGGGGAGGGATGCTGACGCACCGCAGCCCAAGGTGCGTCAGCGTCTCGTTCCCTCGCAGCCCTCGCCGCAGCGAGGCGACGCCGCTCTCGCCTACGGAACACTGCCCGCGGTCACACGAGGGTGCCATTCGCCCAGAGGGCTGCAGCTCGGCTCATCTCGGCCAATCTCGGCTCATCTCCTCGCCCAATCTCGGCTCATCTCGCCCAATCTCGGCTCATCTCGCCCAATCTCGGCTCATCTCGCCCAATCTCGGCTCATCTCGCCCAATCTCGGCTCATCTCGCCCAATCTCGGCTCATCTCGCCCAATCTCGGCTCATCTCGCCCAATCTCGGCTCATCTCGCCCAATCTCGGCTCATCTCGCCCAATCTCGGCTCATCTCGCCCAGAGGGTTGCAGCTCAGATCCAGCGCGCGAAGCCTACTCTCTGCCAACCTCGGCTGATCTCGGCAAACTTCGGCTCGCCGCTCGGACCGAAGGGCGACGAGCCGCGGCCGCAGCGACGCCTCCGCCTCCGCCTCCGCCTCCGCCGCCGCCTCGCGCTGGCACTTTTCTTCGATGCCCTTCACCAGCCGCTGCGCTAGCTGCTCTTGCCTTGGGCGCTCCGCCGCCGCCGCTCCCGCCGCCGCCGCCGCTCCCGCCGCTCCCGCCGCCGCCGCCGCCGCCGCCGCCGCTCCCGTCGCTCCCGCCGCCGCCTCCTCCAAGTCCGCCACGGCCGAGCCGCCCTTTGCCCTTGCGTAATCGATCGCCCGCTTGCCGCTCTTCTCGCGCGCCTGGTGTGCCGATGCGTGTGTGTGCTAGTGTGCGCCAGCCCACCGCCCTGGGAGGAGAGAGAGGCTTTGTCTGTAAAGGACTCTCCCGCGCCTCGAGGCCAGCCCCCGCCCGAAGCAATCTCGGCTAATCTCGGCTAATCTCGGCTAATCTCGGCTAATCTCGGCTAATCTCGCCTCGAGGCCAGCCCCCGCCCGAAGCAGCAACCGCACGACGGCAGGCCGGCCAGCGTCTGCAGCAGCCATCAGCGCGGTGCGACCGTGGCTATCGCGCAGGTCGACCGCGGCGCCACGCGCCAGCAGCTCCTCCACCAGCCCCTCGTGGCCTAATCTCGCGCAATCTCGACTCGTCTCGCCCGACCTCGCGCCAGCAGCAGCAGCTGCACCGCCGACTCTTCGCCCCGGCGCGCAGCAATCATCAGCAGCGAGATGCCGCCCACCGACCCGCTCTCCCACGTCGCGTCGACCTGCCCAGCCCGCGCGAGCCACGCGCGCACGGCCGCCCCGTCGCCGCCGCTCGCCGCGCCTGGCGGGGACATGTCTCGGACATGTCGTGGACGCGTCCCGGACACACGTCGCCTCGACCCTGCCGGTGGCCGCGCCGGCTACCGCGTCGGGGACGACAGCCTGCTCCGGCGCTGTGTCGAGCACCTCTGCCGCCAGCTTCGCGAGCCGCTCCTCCACCCCCTCCACCCCCTGAAAAGGGGCGGCTGCACGAGTGAGCGGCACCGCAGCGAGAACGAGCCCGTCGCAGCGGCGGCGGCGGCAACAAGAAGGAGCACACAGCTACCACTCTGACGTGCTAGCTACACCAGGGCCGGCGCGGGCCGCTCCTCGGCCCCCTCCACGCCCTGCAGCAGCGCCTCGCCGCGGAACACACCCTTGGGGGGCGGGGCGCCTGTTCACAGCTCGAGGTGTGAACCAGCCGCTCCTCACAGCGCCGCGGAAGCGCCCGCACCGCACACCCACACCCACACCCGCGCCCGCGCCCGTCGGCGGACGTGCGAGGCCCGCCCCAGCCACCTCGGCGGCGGCGGCGGCGGCGAAGGCGTCGGAGGGCTGCACGGCCGCCAGCAGCTGCGCGACGTGCGCCGCCCCTTCCGGCCCGATGCCGTTGTTGGACAAGTCGAGCGCCTCGAGGGCGGGGGGGGGAGGGGGAGGGAAGG